TTATTTTTACATTTCTGTTTGTGTACGGGTAAACAAATGAGATAAAACATGTTAATCAGTTCCCTCTGCCTCCAGTCTTTATGCTAGTTAACTACCCAAACTACAATTTTGGGCCATAAAAAAAAGGAATTACTTTCTTTTTTTTTTGCCAATACTTCTCTACTGTCATTCAAAGCTGATATTCCTTGCACTTCCCCATGAACAGTGGAGTATTTTATTGTTTTGGTTTATGTGTGACCTGTGAACAAGTGGGTGCTTTTTGCAGAAAATTCAATTGACCTTTTTGTATTATAGTTTGTTATAATTTCACATTTGTTAGTAGTTTGAACTACTTTTTCTAAGTAGCTTTAGTAAACCACCTAGGGTACCATACCGAGGGTAGCTTTGCTTTAGTAGTTAAGCTTGAAAAGTTATGCTTTCAAATTAGCTTCCCCAACATGGTATGTAGCTATAAATAAATGATACATGTAGTGGTGTAAATAGTACAATATTTGCCTCTGAAATGTAGTGAAATTGTGTAAGTGTAGCAAGTAAAGTATAGCACCTGAGTAAATGTACTTCTACAGGCTCAACTGTTGGTTATGTACAGTGCAGAGAAAAGTTCTAGCGGTATTAAACACAAAAAGTAGTCAGTGTCAAAATAAGAGTTTTGAAAGAACACATTAGTTTGTTTTCACACTTATTAGCCACATGTTTCTACAGTAGCCCAGAATGGACAAATCAAACACTGGCTCTAGAAAGGGCCTTTCATGTTTTTCACAAGTTTTGCAGGCCACCGTAGTTTCTCCTGCACACTTAGAAAGAAAGTGGTGTTGAGTTCACCACGGGTTGCCACTAAATCCCACACCGACCCTTTAAAATACACATTTAATAAACATTCAAAAGTGAGAAACACTAATTTCTCAGATAAATGACTTTAACTACTGTACATAACTCCAAAATTTCCTGTAATTGTAATGGAGACAGAGAACATCATTCTTCCTAATAGATTCTGTGTATCTGTATGTGGGTGAGCGGGGGGGGGCTTGTTCATATTCCAGTCATGTTTGAGTCACCTTGCAGCCGAGACTCTTCACCACAAAGAACTGCTCTCCCTCTCCCTCCCTCTGCCTGCCCTTTAATTTCTTCAAATTATTATTGTGATAATTGCCAGCTTGCAGCCCACAGCCTCAGTGAGATAGTTTCTATTTTCAAATGTTATTATTATAACGCCATACATGTGTTTTATGTAGATTTGGCACTTACAGGAGAGAGGGGAAAAAAAAGTGAGATCCACAAAGTGATAAGTATAGTAAGCTGGCCAGACACACACATGCAGAATATACAGCCTCCTCACTCACCTTGTTTTTCAACCACACACACGCACATATTCTCATATTTTCTCACAAATACATGTGTTCAGTAAGGCAGATGGTGCCATGAGCCGAGACTAAAATAGAAAGAGAAAAGAGGGTAAAAAGGAAAAAAAAGGATATTTTGTCTTTCAGAGCAAAAGCAGAGAACAACCCTGTGGGCTTCAGAGAGCACACACACACACACACACACACACACACACACACACACACACACACACACACACACACACACACAGATAAACACTGCACAACACGTGGTTGTGGATGGACGCTGACCAAGTTTTGTTACTTTCTTGTATTTCTTTTCATTGTTTTATTCTAAAAATGCCCCCAAAACAGTTAAAAATAATCACATTGAATTTTACCAGCTAGCCACAATGTACTCGTCTGCCTAATTATCCTCAGACAACCGGTGTATCGGCTTCTCAGTGGTGGCGTTCAAGCTGTCCTGTCAGCTGTCATTGTCAGTGTCTTCATACGGAAAATGTACGGAAAATAAATTATAAACTATAATTATAAATAAACTATAAAACTGGTACTGGTATGATAAAAGTAAGCTATAAAATAAAAATAAGTTCTTGTGCTGTCTGAATGTAAGTTAAAGTATGGGCAACATCCCCAAAACTGCATTCTACACTTCCCACAATGCAACTCAATAGTGTTTTCCTTCTGGGTAAATTTACAAGAACCATGATGAAATCATGAAGGTTATTTTCTCCGACTTTTTTGGCTCCTGACAGAGCCATAGACTGACCGACCTTCGTGTGTAAAATCGGTGGAGTACACCTTTAACTCTGACCTCATTTTTAGATGAATTTCACACACTTGATGATCGAGGCGCTCTGCCGGTGAACCAGATGTATCTTATGCTACAATATTCAAGATTAAATGGACAGTAAACACCTGAAATATTGTGCTTTGATAAATACTTCAGTATTCTAATTTACAACTTTCTCTCTGAAGAAGAAACAAACCACAGGCTTTATGAATATTCAGCACAAGTCATATTAATGATTTCCATTTACGATGAGACACAGCAGGCATAACTCACATAAGACGCTCTATAATTGATGTTTCGTGCAGCGACAAATTCATATTTTACAGCAAAGTAGGTGCAGTATCAACCATAAAATGAACAACCCAAAAAGTAATTTCAGAAGTCATATTCAAAAAACACATTATGTGAGGAAATTGGAATGCTTTATTAGACCTGTAAACATATTTCTAGAGTTGGGATAATGTCTCCGATTGATGAGATGAATTTCAACCATTGGTGTAAATTCACAGATTTGGATCATCTGTATCGAATCAATTGTTTCTAGCCCTCAATCTCGGTACAGTTTTTGGGATATATAAGAGACACACTGATGGAAGCAAAACCTCCTACAGTCAAATGCAGATATTTCTACTAGATGATGCCAGAATCTGTGAGGCGGAGGAGACACCCTGAGCTATCCAAGTGGAGTGTAGCCTCCACTTACATAACTTTTATGGTTGAAATCTCATATCTGCCAACTCTACCATGTGACAGCAGAACGAGAGATGTGACTCAGAGAGGGCTGTAAATGGGCGACGGCTGGAGAGCAAATTCCAAGAGGACATCAGTCTTTTCCCTCGAGATTATTTCGATCATGTTGGACAGGTGATTCAATATTTGACCTCAGTCTAGTCCGTACTTAAATCACGATGCCTTTGACAGTCACAGTTGGCAGGCTGTTAATTATCTACAAGTTCTGATGAATCACGCTGAATCTGCACCCACGGCTCAATATCACACACAGGTCAGCCCGTGACTAAATCACAGTATCAGCTGTGCGGCATTACTCTATGTGATTCAACTGATTCTCACATTATGAGGGAAGCTGTGAAATAAAGGAGATCGCAGGGGATTCGCGTTGATAACACCCTTATGACCCCGTTATTATTATTCTTTTCTTCAAAAGGTGATCTTGATACTGTGAATGAAAAGCTCATGGAAAGATACAAAAACAACAACACCGTGCCCCTCACTTCCAAGTGTGTGCTGTGCTTATTTTCCATCATTCCCGTGTCAGTGCTGCTGCTCGTGTAACAGGTATGAGGAGGCTGCCTTCGTCACTTCTGCTTTAGACCTCCTAAATGTCAGCAGGAGGAAGAGGAAGGTCATTATTGTTTGTCAAATGTCTCATTACGCTGAATGTCGATGATATTGGCTCCGGTTCTTGCTGCTCGCCTGACACTCAGCATCACTTCTCTCCATATGTTTGTTGTGTTTTAATCTTTAGATGTGAAACAGCTCATTGATCCAAAAAAAATAAAAATAAAAAAATCAAATCATTCACCCATTTATCACTCACTGTCCACCTATCTGCCTCCTGCTGGCTTTTAGGAGTCATGACATTGCCTGCAGACGGCACGCACTGCACCAGGATCACTAACTCACCTCCTACCAGCGACGATGCTCTCTGTGTGGGGAGCTTCATATGACACTGACCTTGTTTTCATGTGAAGCCAATTACCCACAGGGGAAAATTCAGCTGACACGTCCTTCACATGTGTTTTTCTTTTTGTCACCAGACAAGGTCACATGACTCCCAAGTACCAGTAAGAATGATAAAGGAGTGGTTTGTCCCCACCCTAACGTGCAGCAAAGACAACAGGAGAGTGAGGGAGGCGTCAAACAGAGACAGTGAAGAGGTCTAATCAGGCAACGTGTGTAAAAATACCTTGAGGGCGGTGGAATTACCTGTAACCTACCACAGCAGTAAGCAGAGTCATGTCATCACGTCACCACTCAGAGCTTCTTTTTTCAGCAGAAACATTAGTTTAATTCACCAGTTACTTCCAGCCATTCACATGTTGCTATTTTCTCTATTAATGTAAATGTCAGTATAACCTGCAGATACTTCACATTAAAAGGGTAGACGTAGAAGAAGTGTTGAGTTTGCATTAACCAATTAGAAATAAAAGTCTGTTCCCAGTGAAGGCTCTCTCTCTCTCTCTTTGATTGAGGGAAATTAGATTTGTTAACTGATGGACGAGTGAGATATAAATCAAGCACAGCTTGTAGAGGCCTGCATGGTCCTGAGGGGGTCTAATCAGGTAAAATAAGGGGTGAAGAGCCTGTACGTCTGTTGGAAAACATTTAAAGTTCAATATGACTAAAATACAAAAGGCATGCACCATTTGGCAATAATGCAAATATGCTGGAAAGCACGATAAAGTGGGTAGCAGTGGGTTTTCCATTCTCGAAAACCATTAAAAAAAGTTCCTTCATTTCTCTGTTTTGTTATAGATTCTCTAAAGTACTGTACTTTGTGGCTAAGTGTTGAAGTTAAGAGCCACTTTAAAAGGTTTGCTTATAAAACAGTTAATTTTTGGAGGACAATTTGTTTTTTAAATACTTCCTGGTGAATTTACTACCTGCTATTTCCCCCTATTCCATTTAGGAAACAAATGTTTCCACAGAAATCCACAATAACACCAAACTGCCTCAGAAGACCTTTGGAGGCAACACATTCATTTTGCAATGTATGGCAACCTTGAAATGATTTCTGTCTCGATGTAAACATACTGCAGGTACACACACACACACACACACACATAGTCACTGCTGTGGACCTGCACGTGCACACACACTGAAATCAGGAGAAGAGGAGAAGGATATTGCTTTTGAATCTCATATCCTGTTTTATTGTTCAAATATGGCAGAACAATATATACAACACAGTACAAACAACACACCCGCAGAGTCCAACATACACACGGACAAATGGACGGACAAACAGAGAGAGACACATTTGTACAGACGTTCACGCACACAGCTCCGAGTTGCCATGATTGATAGAGACAAGAATTTCTCTGGGGAACCACTGATCAAACATCCTACAGTCACGTGTGTACTCACTCACTCACTCACTCACTCACTCACTCACTCACTCACTCACTCACTCACTCACTCACTCACTCACTCACTCACTCACTCACTCACTCACTCACTCACTCACTCACTCACTCACTCACTCACTCACTCACTCACTCAGAGACAGATGAACAGACTAACCATACAGGCCAACAGGACAACTTGTGTATTAAAGGGGATTTTAAGGAGATTAAGGATCCGGTGACAATAAAAGATCAAAACGAAAACGTTCAAAGTCCACCTTAAGACAGAATTCACCTTTGTTATCGACGTTTCAATGAGCCCACAGCGACAGGACTTAAGTGGATTTCACAGGGATGAGAGCACATTTTCCAGCTCACACCTGTTAGCACTGAAGGGAAAATAAACCTCGTAGGGCTGAAAAATCTGAGTCGGCAAACTGAGTCTCTGGTTGTCTGTGTTCACGTAAACAGGAACTGATTCAACCTTATAACAGAAATAACTTGAATTGTGTTTTAACGGTGGACGATTTGGACATTTCAACTCAAGAATCCCACTCTGTAGCCACAGGCTTTTCCATTTCAGAGACTTTTGGCAAATCTCACAGTAAAAATGAATTGGCTATAAATGTTAGCTATGTATTGTCACCTTAAGCACTTACAGAAAAACAGAAAAACAAAAACACATCAATTTGTTGTAGTGACTTAAGGCCACTTTGAACAGAGGTGATTTGATTCAACAGTATATATTTACCTGCTCTTTAAAAAGTTAAACCAAAAGACAATTAAAACAACAAATTCTGAATTTTGTGCTTTTTTCACCTTTGAATGCAAACAGAAAGCTCTTTTATAATTTCTAAATCAAATCTCTTCATTTTTTTCACATTAAATCAATTTCTCTAACAGGGAAGCTATTCTGCCGCAACAGCAAAGCATGATAAATAATAGATAAAAAGGATAAAATAACAAATTTATGGCCAGAGAGTGTGCCTTTATCGTAGCTGTATCATCATCATCTTGCTGTCAGTCGAAAACCTCGTCTACAGGAAGTCAAGTTTTCACACTGTGAGACACACGGTGTGTTTCTGACTGGATTTCATGAGCCGTGGGGTCGAATTCAGAGCACGAAAGGCCAAATTCAAGTTCAACAGAAACAAAATGGATGGAAGACACTTAAATTAAGAGCTGGAGGGTTTTCAGCTGACAGCAGCGATTGTCTGAGTTAACCTCCCCGACATCAGCATCTGAGTAACTGCTCTTACATGCACAGTAATACAGAATAAAAACTCCCCAGATCAGCATAAATACTTCCAATAAACACTGTGCCTCAAATAGCCTGTTTATAGACTTCATCCCAGACATTAATAAATGGATTAAAAGGACAAACACAAAATAAATCATCTGTGCGCTCTGATGCTGCTTCAAAATTATTTCACAAAAATAACAAAGTATGTGAACAGAAAATAATGACATATATATGATCAGGCAGGAAGCTGAGTTATGAAATGAATGCCTGTGTATAATAATAATAATAATAATAATAATAATAATAATAATAATAATAATAATTGCCTATCACATCAAAATTAGGTAGTTTTCACTGAGACAAGCACTCAATGAGGGTTTTGGCTTTAAGTAAAAAGTAAAATGCATGCTTGGCAACTTGTAGTGTTTTGTAGCAGTGTTATTTTATTTTTTAGCATCCTTAATCGCTAATTCCCCCAGTAAGTTAGTGCTATTAGTGCAGCTAAATTAAAGTGATAGAGGGACACCGGTCTGTATGCTCCCATAGTGTTTGTGGACCCCAACAGAAGAGTCCAGACAGGGTTTGGAAAAGCTGGTATCACTACAGTTTCTGCTTTAAAATGTGAATTCAGAGCTTATAACTGAATTTAAATCAATGATTGTCTCAGTGCTGTATCGGCAGGACACACTTGGTTAATACAACAGTAATATTTAAAGCATAGCTGGGGCCAGATCACTTTCCATACACCAAAATATAGTTTGCTATCTTATGTAAAAAGTGAAATGAAACGCTGGAAGTTTAAAAAAGATCCATTTCCTGAAGCTGAACTGAACTGAAAGTGCTTTGAACCCAGACACGCTGCATAATACACAGACAAAAACTTGTACAGACAAAGTCCAACATACTGTTTTTCACACTTAGGTTTGAAGAATCCAGTCGCAACTCAGACTGCGTCAGTCAGACCAGCTATTTTCACATAATATCCTCTTCAGCCACAAAGATGAGCAGATGAGTAATCTTTTGTCAATGGAGACAGCACTGATTTTTTAAGAGGAACGTATGCGAGAAGAAAAGTAGAACATTTTCTTCACCTGAAACAATGAAGTTAAAGAGTTTTTTCTTAGTGAAATTAAGGATATTGAGTCCTATTTTAAATGCAGGTGAACCAAACGGTCTACAAAACATGATTTATCTTATTCTAAAAAGGGCAGTTTGTGAGTGACAGGTCAAAGTGACATGTGTGTCTCTGGAGGAGTGTTTTACGCATGTTTTCTGGATTTGACGTGCAAACGCAGACCCACAGCTGAGTGACGGTCGATGTCCTTGCTGTTAGATGTAGGACACCAGAGTTAGTGAGTTAACTAACAGGCTTAGCTAGCTGGCCAACTGGGAATGTCAACCTAGCACTGAACTCAAGCTACATAATCTATTTAACTAGCACTGTGTCTAGCTAGGTCAGTTGGGCAGTAGTGGCGGGTAGCTAGCTTGACTGGCTAGCCGTTGTGGGTGGCTAGCTGGGTTAGCTAGTCAGCAAACTGGGCTGACTGGTTGGCTGGTTCAGGCTTTGTGCCCAGGGCTTACTGACTCTTCTCCTGGTTAGCCAGGCCTGGCTGATGTTTTCTGGGCGGCTGGTTTTTTTTTCAGTCTCTGTACTTCAGTCCGATGATGTCACTTCCTGTTGTCTGTAGTGGAGTTAGCTGTAGTGTCCGTCTTTGTTGCAGTTTCCTCAGTGCTCCCAGGGGGCTGCACTGCAGAGGCATTAGGCCCGCCCCCATTTTGAAGTGTTTCCTGTTTGTACTGTTGCAAGGCGCGATTGACCGCATCCTCGACCAGTCGCCTGCTGACCCTCAGTAGCTCCGCCTCGTCGGGCTCAGACCGGCGACGCCCACCTGGGTAGAAGAAGCATAAAATAAAAGGTGCATTATATACACTATTATATTCATTCAAGAAAACATTATCACTCACAAACATAAAACACATGGATGTACAAACTTTTGTATAAATTGCTCCCTTATAATCATATTACACATTATTCTTTCCATTGTTAATATAAAAATATTGATTAGCGTAGCTTTAAAGTAAATTAAGTAACATCCCTCTGGGAAATGATCTCTATGATGAATACTGAACAAACTATTTAAGTACTTTCGTTTATTTTGGTTTAAGTCACACATTATTACAGGTTTCTGGAACTATGAATCATTGTGGTATATGACAGTTTGCAGACAGTGTTGATATTAAACTCCAAATCGTATGTATGTATGTATGTATATATATTGTGCTATGTAAGTACTGGTGCCCACTTGTTTGCACACACTTGCTGCAACGGGCCATTTTGAGTGCATCTTCAATGCACAAATCAATTTCCAATAACGTAACAACAAAATACGTTTTGAATTTGAAACCTATCATCAAACTGTGGATTTCCCACTGTGTTTATGTCACTAGCTGGTGGTCTATTCCCCTGTATGTGACATGAATGACACATTCAAAATCTTAACCTTAACTACACTGACATTTAAAAACATAAACTCTATAAGGAATTCTGTGGTGTTTGTCCTTTGTGTTTTATTACATGATACCAGGGCTGATTTCATTCTCACTCCAGTATGTTCAAAATGAAAATAACTATTAATCTGACAATAATAAATGACTCTACAGTCACTTGTCATAGAATCCAGCAACAATAGATTGGATGTGACGGAGTTGATAACGACAGAGGAGGTGAACAACCATCTCTCGACTCTTCTGTGCATGCATTTTGAATTGAATCTGCCTCCTGGAGTGATTGAAAAGAGAATTAATTTAATTTAATTAAGGTTTTACCACACTGGTGGTTCTGCTTTTGCTGCAGACAAAATGGCAGACTAAAAAACAGTGACATAGCAGAGCAGTCAGACAGACATAAAGCCAGTTACAAAAAAAAAAAAAAAAAGCAAGATGGGCAGAAAGTCAATAATTCATGTAGAAAGACAGCTAGGCAGGGAGGCTATAGGATAGACAGCCTGCACTAAGCCATTCAGAAAGAGTAATAGAAAATCACTCAACCATCCAGTCGGCAGTGCTTCAAAAGCACACTATAACCCCCTCAACATCTGATTTACTAAAAGTCTGAAAGTAAAATCCCCAAGATGATATTCCACGTCGCACAATCCCACTGGGCCCATCGGTGTTTATATTTGAAAGCACAGTGGTGCTACTGTTATGCAACATAGACAGAGACAGGACATACAGTAGGAGTGAGACAGTGAATGAGGTTTGCTGAGGTCAGATTTGCATCCATAAATCGTAAGCGGATGATCACACTGAGCTGCGTCGCTACAAAAGCCTCGCCAGCAAAACCGTTGTTTTCCTATGGTACGTCCTCTCTCGCACGGCGTGTCTCGTTTTTTCTGTTGGTTTTATATGACATGGAGAAGGTGACACATTCTCATGTTTTCAGCCCTTGTCAATGTCACACTTGACCCAGGCAGCCAATTAAATCAAGCCAAGGGGGGCTTTACTACTTTAAAACTCATTCCTGTTTTGATGCCGGTAGATGTGAGAGTATTTCAGAGGGAATGGGATAATTCATAGCTCATGTCGTGATAGTTTCATGTAAGTTACTTGTCTTTGAGAGAGAGCAACGGCAATAGCTCGCTGTCACCTTGAATCCATTTTTTCCCCCCGTTGATCATATTGGATTGACCGATTGCACACACATCCCTGCTCCAGAGGTGCATGTTTCGAACATTATTTGAGCTGCCTGCGACTGTAGCAATGCGTCTCTGTCTAATTGGCCCCTAATGTGTCATTTTTTCTATTCTGTAGTAGTTTTCTTACCAACTTAGTGTTACAATTTATGTTAAATAATCTTAAATACTTTTTTTAAAGGTGCCCTGAGGAGTTTTTAACCACTTGTACCACTATGGAGCAGTTTTTTATTTTTATTTGTGGGACCTAGTTTTGTTTATTAATTTCTTTAAGAGCGATGTCCATAGGGCACCTTTAAGACACAGTATCATTGACTGTTTGGCAAATGCACCTGTAAGCTACTGCTAGGTATGAATTCAATAAGGTGTATAAATGCTCTGCAGGGGTCTCAGTGCTTGATGTATTGCTACAAAAGTGTCGGTCACTGATGATTGATTGTTTGTATATCCATGCTGTGGACATTTTATACACCCCCCTTTTATCCTCCAGGTGGGGTTGAGATATACTATACAGGCCAGTGGAATAAATTACAGTCACATGCATGTCACCGCAGCATTTCACCATCATTACCAGCTTGTACCATTGACACATGCATTACGTACCGACGAATATGTGTTATTTATGCCAAACAGCCTGCCAAACAGAAACCAGGATTTGTCATACCAGCCGGCATATGTGCGCATTACTCACCCAATTATGGTCCCACTATGCTCTCACATCAGCCTCAGCCTTATTTTTCGCTAAATTGATTTGAACCTAACATGATGTTGTGTTGTTGTACCTCTAACTCATGTTTTATTGAGCTGTGCTCTCTGAGAAGCCCAGCTGCTGTTGTACTGAGATGCGATTTGATTACCTGCAGTCACCCTGTCAGTTTGAGTGACTCACACCTCTGACCGCTGTTTGATCAGGTATTTTTGCCCTCAGGACTTCAGTCGACTGAATTTATTCCACATCTTTCTTAGTAAACAGTAGACACTAGTATGTGGACCCCCAAAGGCTGATGGCCATTATAATTAAGCTGGGTTAACTGAAACTGGAGATTTAAATTATGCCACCATTTACAACTGGTATCAACATGTATCTGGATACATTGCCTGGATAATGACAAACAATCCAATAAAACTCTTTGCATTAATATGGCATTCACGTTATCTTGATTCTGCCTACATTGTAATCGGATGTAAATATGCAAAGTAACAAAGTGGGGGTTTTGGACTTGGAAAGCAATTAAATGCATGGGCGTTATTTGTTTTTATGTCACTTTTTGCAAGGGAAGACTTGCTAGCCGCTGCTACCATTTGTAGCTATTGCCTGGAACCTTCAGGTAGCAGAAAGAGGCGGCTGCAGGTTACTTGTGGTCACGCTGCTGAGATCTGATCACAATGCGAGCCTGACCAGATGCAATTGGCGACGTGGACCCAGCATGCATCTCTCAAAGTTAAAAAAATAATAATAATAAGTACCGTCTATGTGCGGCTCATTATTTATGATTGTGTAACCAATCAGCTGGTGATCACACAGAACAATTTTCTTTTAGCAAAGATTTTGATGTTGCTTTCTGCTCTCCAGTGAGGTCCACTGTAGGAAAATATTGAAAACAAACATCAAGATGCAATCTGGTTCAAGTGTGGTTGTAGAGTCTCTTTGTTCCATATCTGTGAATGCCGTCAAGATAAGTGTAGCTTTCATTATAAAATAAACACACTGTAGTGAACACAGGTTTGATTATTTAAAACAGATCCACCGAATGTCCATTGTCTTCTGAAGTGTCCCTTAAGGATGAGAGTGCAGCAGTATGTGCACATGCTGCACCCATTACATGTCAAACAGTAGCTAAAGGCCTCAACCCTGTTTGCATGATTTACATTTTAGTTAGACTGAACTCCCTGTGTGGTGGAGGACGTTATTACAGCATTCACAGAGAAATGCCTGTGTTAAAATCTTTGTATGCAAATACCAAAACATGTGAAAAGCAAATACCAGCAAGTAAGGATGTGGCATTCAAAACATATAGGGCTGTGGATACAGTTTCTAACTGAAATAGAAATAATTTGATACTGTATTGATGTCTGTAACTAAATCCTTGCATTTGATCAGCTACTGAAGGACGACCTTAGAGACTGCCTTGCTCATTGAAACTACAGCTGTGAGGTGGGGGGGCCATAAAAGGCCATAAAACGGTCCCCTAAATCACTTCCTGTCCTGCTTCCTTCAACCGGACAAGATGGCTTTAGCTTGGCTCATTTAGGGTAACTGAATTTAAACTGATGAGGCAAATGATTATAGAATTATACATTCAAATTATATCAGCTGAAAGGAAATGCTGGCAGATTAGAGAAGGCTGCTGAGTTACACATCAACGGCGATAGAATTACGTCAATAAAAATAAAAACTGATTATTCGTAGTTTCTGGGAAAAATAATACTGCGATTACATACGGTCCAGGTGATCTCTGAACAAATCTTTTGTAATCAATATAATTGCGGTAACCCGGAGGTTGCCGAATGTAATCATTAATCATCCCAAATGTGATTGTTCTGAGGGATTACGTTACAGAATGCAATTTCAGCCTGTAATCAGATGTAGATTAGGTTTTAAATGAGCCTTCCTGACTCTGATTGTAGACATGTGATATGAGGAGGGACACATACTTGAGCGTTTGGCATGGAGTGGGTTCTGAACCAAATCTGCAACGTAAGCACAAACATCAACACATTAAATAAAGACACACACACACACACAAAAAAGGAATTCAACAAAAAACAAGTGATACTTTGCTGTCTCGTGGATTTCATACACTCATGAAGCAGTACAGTACACAAAAGCCTGTTTGTCTGCTAACACAAGGGAGATACTTTTGGTGCTACACAGCTGTGATTTTAAAGATTAGGTTTGGACCTCTGGGCTATGTGAGGACTAAAACGGATGCACAAATATTCAGAAGAAATACTCCCCAGGAGTGGCGAGGCTCTGCTGTGTAAAAATAGGGCCCAGGTGTGCACTTTTTAGAGAGAGAACGCCGGATAATAAAGTGTCATTTCTTACACAAATAGTTAGACTACACTGTAAAAAGACTTAAACTTATGTTAGCTAAACATGAACAAACAACTGGGTGACTTTTGGATGATTTTAAGATGGAGTATAACCCTCATTCCTCTCCTCTGTCTTACTTCTGCTGCTGTTATGAATATCCAGAAATTATTAGCTTGTGATTTTGATCCCACATAAACAGACTTTGACTTGTCAAAGGTCTGTTCTGTGTCCGTATCTTTTAAATGAGGTGTGTGAAAGAGTTTTTATCTGCCTGTTCAATCTTGGCCGGACAAAATAAAGGCAGTAATAAGGCAGATTATGATGGCAGTAAAAGCTGCCCTCTGTACCTGTTACATATATATATATATATATACACACACACACACACACACACACACAGATAAGCCTTTCTCGCTGTGGATAGACTGATTCCACAACAAGGCTGACAGACACAACTTATCTCTGTGTCACACACACAAATACACATGTTCAACAGTGACTGACACACACACACACACACACACACACACACACACACACACACACACACACACACACACACACACACACACACACACACACACACACACACACACACACACACACACACACACACACACACACACACACACACACACACACACACACACACACACACAAAGTAGATCCACAATTTCTCAAAGCTTATGTGCTCTCTGCTGAGCTCATATACTCCCCTCCACTTGTGTGACTCTGACTCCAACCTCTTTCTGCCTTTACTTTTACAAACCTCTCTCTTGTTTTATCTCAACCCTTTTTTTCCTCTCTCTCTCTCTCTACTTTTTCTATCTGGCAGTGTTGTCATGGTGACGGGATGAGAACCAGACAGGCACTTCAACTTTTAACAACACAAGAGGTTGTACCGACTTCCATCGTTTTTTTCTTTGTGCCAGGTTTCACTCACTCTTCACTCTAAGTGTCCTCTTCTCTCACATCTGTTTGACTTTTTCTTGTCCCTCAACCTTTTTGTCTTTTTTCTCTGCATCTGACTTTCTTTCTTCTTTGCCTCACTGCTTCTCTCTTTCAGGCTAATTTTTCCCAAATGTATTCACTTGCATTTCTCAAGACCTGTTTTCAAATATCACTTTTCTTGTCTCTCTGTGCGCTGACATCTATTTTTCATCTCAAAACTCCATGACATAAGGGCGCCGGGTTAGCTCAGTGGGTAGAGCTGGCGACCCATGTACTGAGGCTGAGTCCTTTGTTGCAGCGGCCCAGGGTTTGAATCCGATCTGCAGCCCTTTGCTGCGTGTCATCCCCTCTCTCTCTCTCTCTGCCCCCCTTTCCTGTCGGTCTTCAGCTGTCCTATCAAATAAAGGCAATAAAAGCCAAAAAAATAATACTCCATAACATAAGACTGGGGAGAAGCAAAAAACAGTGGAACAGGTGTTGTGAGACAGATGAAATCCCTTAACATTAAAATTTATAAGCAGTTGGAAATTTCAATTCAACAGATTTAAACTTGCCAAATTATAATATGCATTCCTTTCTTTATCAGTATGCATTACATTGAACTCAGTCTCTGGGTCTAGAGCCAGACTAAATCTCTTAGCCCATATGGTGCAAACCAGGCCAATTAGTAGATTCCAGTTAAACCTGTTGTGGAAATGAGATTAGTAGTAGGATATGCTGTCTTCTGTCCAACAGCAAAACCATGCCAGGTTGTGTTTTCATTGCTCTCTTTATTTTTGCTAACAAGCTAACAACACGGCTCTAGTTGGTTTGTCATTTTTGTACACACTGAAATATGTTAACTAGGGCTGCAACTAGTGATATTGTTTCCTTATTGTTACATCCACCGAATATTTACTCAATTTATCAATTTGTTGTTTGGTCTATAAAATGTTGGAAATATAAAAAATATAATTTTTCAGAACCCATGGTGTCCAACTAAGACTCAAAGAAAGAAGAAAATTCAATTTACAATAATATAAAAGAGAAAATTGCTGCAAGAAGCTGGAACCACAGGATGACATTTATTCTATTACTGTCACAAAAATGTCTTTGTCCAGTATTTATGCTTTATTTTTCTATTTATTTATGACAAAATACCTGCAAAACTAATTACATTCTCACCATAAGTTAGGTGCTAATTAGTAAATGTTGGCATTATTACTATTATTATTACCTAAAAAGTCACCATCATAACATTGTGATTGTGAGCATGTTAGCATTTAAGTTTGTTCCTCTTTCACACCTCTGTCTGTGTCTCTAACGTGTCCGGGCTTTGAAGTCACCCAGATAGGCAGAAAGGTTGACAGGTTGTTGGTGTACTGATGCTGTGTTTGTGACTGTGACTGTACTGTCAGCGTGCTGTGAGTCTGCACAATGTCAAGTGACAACAACTGTGTGTCGGCTTTGTTTTTTTATTTCATTCCCAGCGTCACCGCTCTGCTCTGCTTTACTTGGCTCTGCTCTCTCCTCCTGGGCACTGCTCTGCTGTGATTTATCCTGTGCCATGTAAGAACCTTTTAACACCATTACTTCAAACTCCCTTACACACTTATTTATCTTCTTCTTTAGCAACTCCTTCCCTCCCAATAACTAATAGAGTCCACTTCCTGGTTGGATCAGTGCTGACATTCTGCTCAAGTCTGCCAAAATTGTAAGCCAGCCGCTTTCAAAACTTTGTACTTTCCATGATGGAGAGAGCACTTTAATGTTCAGTTCCAGCAGAGTCTCTGTTGATGCTCCCCGTACACAAGCACTTCACATCTACGGGCAGTATCGAAAGTCCCCATAATAATCCCATTAAAGACCTGAATCAGATTCACTGGGAATAGCAGCCTAACTGATTATGTTTACATCCAGCCTAACAATCTGCTGCTATGGCTAATTTCTTCTTACTCCAAATGAACTGATTTCCTGAACGCTCTATCAGGGCTTTAGACAGAGAATTAATACAGCGTATCTGGTAAGAGGAAGAGGATAAAGCATGAGAGAGAGCGCAATAGGCAGATGAAGAGGAGGAGGAGGAGGACAAGGAGAAAGGAGTAGGAGGAGAATTTGGGGGGGAAAAGGGGGAGAAAGAGGTGGAGGAAGACTACAGTGCAGTGTGTGATGTGAGCAAGAGGAGGGTGTATTTCCGCAATGTGAAGAGATCCCTAACGGAGGTTTGAAGCAGAAAAATGAGACAGAAGAGGGAGGAAAAAAAAGAAAGAAGGGAGAGGGTGCATTCAAGGACAGAGAGGGACGGTTGAGGAGGAAGAGGAGGAGAAACGAGGAAGAGCAGACCTTGAAAGAGAAATGAGAGACGAGGACAGTGGGGGTATATTGAAGCTGTGCGGCTGGGGGGTAAAGAGGACTGATGGTGGAGCGGTTTCCTGAGGAAATACCAGAGACTCTCTCAGACACGAGCTACTGTACTGACTGCAGCCCTGCTCAACACATTTCTATTCACACTGTATTCTAGGTAACTCGTGTTCAGGTTACGGACTTACTGAGGATAAGCTATTTATGGATTATTATGAATAAACATTACCTTACCAAAAAGAAACATACCCCCTGGAGATCAGACGTGTACATCACTGAACTGGAGAACAGTTTATAGACCTACAGGGCCCACTGTACTTAAATGGCCACTGAGCAAGGCACAAAAGCCATAACTGCACTGAACTCTAGTAATGCTTATTAAAAAATATTTACAGAAAAAAAACAAGCTACTCGGAGCTCTGTAATGGACTCATCGTGTGGCCTAATTTGCCTGCGTTTTTTGAATTCTACAACAGAGGATGATAATTACATTTGTGACAATCTCTCCCATGTGCCAGAACAATGGGATGCAGGGTGTTGATGCCCAGAAGTGTGAGAGTCTGTTCCTCTCCACCAGTGCACTGATCGACAATTTCACGGCTGATGAATTCCTCCACCGAGACGGTAAACACCATCAAAACTCTTTTTTCACACTCATGCCTTCAAAGTGATATGAGGAGGATGACGATGACTTAAGGAGGGACGGAGGCCGGATGTGAAACAGCAGAAGAAGGCGATACGCTACCTGACAGCGCGCCTTCATGTAATACTGACTGAGTAAACTGATTTGGAAATAATGAAAATTGCTGGTTGGTTTTTTTGACCTGAACATGATGACACACACATGCTATACTAGCTGCTCCTGTGCGGCTGTACTTAGCCATAGTGGTGCTTTGAGCTAAATGCTAACATGCTCATAATGACGTGACGTTTAGCAGGTATAACGAATATATTCACCATCTTAGTTTAGCCCGTAGCACACTAACATTTGCTAATTAGCACAAAAGACAAAGTACAGCTGAAGCAGATGGGAGGCAATTTTGCAAAATTCGGTCATAAACCACAGTTTTGTGTGGCGGAGCAAAAAGGAAAACATCAGGGGATCACAGGAGATGAAAGGATTCATCCTCTGGGGATCATGACTGACTGCACAAAATTTCAAGGCAACCCATAAAATAATAAGTTGGGATATTTCAGTCTGGATCAAAGTGGCGATCGACCAACATTTCGATGCACAGAGCCACGCAGCTACAGCAGTTTGAGCGCTGCTTCTTTTAATTAAAGAAACAACTGTGGCACAAGATCCCTTTGACATTTTGCTCAGGGGTCTGACAGTGGACGCAGACATTAAAGCCGTGCAGCT